CTTCTAACGTGTGGGGTGGCTTCTTTTTTTGCTTTTTATTAGTGGTATATCAAGTAAAAGGAACTTTTATGACCTTTGGATGGTAAAGTTTCGACATGTCTGTATCTCCAGAGGTTATTGTTAAATGGTTAGTTACAAAAGTATAACATTTTTAGTATAAAGTCATAGCTGCACAGGAATCCAACTATCTTGTAAAATTATAAATACTCCCTATATATTTTTTTCTTTTACAAAATCCACCTTTTTAGGTTCTTCCTTTATAGAATACAAATTTCTTGGTGAATTGTTTGTTTTATCTTAATGGGAGTAATCCTGAAAAGTAACTGCATTATTCTGTAATTGTACTATTCATTGTGGTAGCTTTTGTTATCTTTAGATTATTGGGAAGGTTGACTTATGAGGAAATTACCAATGCTTAATCACCTTAAAGACCCAAAGTTTCTTGAAAGGATATTTATGACTGGTCATTGTGAATATTTTCTTCGGCATTACTTTTTCCTTTATCTTTTATATAATGGAGGACTTAGTGCAGAGCTCTTCATTGTGTTGTGTATTAAACATAACATAGGTCATTACTGTTAAAAGCCTAATAATATGAACACGCGGGAAGAAAAGAAAACATGGGTCTTTAGAGTAATCACCATATACATGATTCGCATATGAGGTTGATCTTTATTTTCCGTCTTGCAAAGTCTACAGAAAATACCTTCTTTTACATAGTAGTGTGTGTCTTACTGCTATTCTAAAGCATAAACATCGAAATACATTTAACATTTTTTACCATTTCCTTCCTCTCCCAGTTATCAGTGACGAATCTGTTGTGCGTTTTTTTCATTTCCTTTCTGGCTTGTTTTCTTTCTTTCTCTCTTTATCTTTTATCTCTTTCACAACATAGTTTTCTATCCTAGCTTTTAAGGTGTACCATTATAATTTATTTACATGTTGAATTTTGTTGAGATAAGCGGCCTAATTATAATTTATCCTAGCAGAAGTATGGTTTTTATGACCTATCACTTTCTGCAATCACTAGTTCCTATTACTGATTATAATTGGTTGATGCTAAGAATTGGGATCTACATAAGCTATATCTGGTATGAGATTTTAAAGAAAACATGATGCAAAAAGAACCCCAGTTAACTTGATGCATGCTAACTGACATTTTGTTCTGTTTTTGCTTTGAAGACACTTTCTCTGTTCTTTTCTCTCTTCACTCAACCTAGAAACTTGAAGAGACTTAACTGAATACTAACCACAAAAAAGCTGCTTATCTGACCCTTTCATGACCACATGGCGCCAATATTTTTTATTTTAGTTTTTGTTTCAATTCCTAGCAAATATTATCTTATGCAGTAGAGTCCTAGCTTAAATTTATTAATCCTTAACAAAAGATATATGATAGATTTCATGTTGTATGTAGGCAAGGAGGGCATTGAGGGCCCTTAAGGGGCTGGTTAAGCTTCAAGCCCTAGTAAGGGGCCATATTGTCCGAAAGCAAAGTGCTGACATGCTTCGGCGCATGCAAGCCATGGCCCGAATTCAGGCCCGGGCCTCTGCTCATCGATCTTACACATCCGAATTGCCCTCTGCAAAAACCGTCTTCTCCAATTCCCATCATTTTGTGAGTGCATGTGCCGTTTTTTTTCCTGTTTTCTCAGCAAAAAACATCCATCTGACTCTTAAGTAAACATTTGCCCTTTTTTTTTTTTTTTTTTTTTTTTTCNTTTTTGAACTCTTGATTTTGAAGGATTGCATGAACCACAGAAAATATGAAGAGAAGGCAAATAGCATAAAAAATGGTAGATCCCCTCAAAAGGTAACTCTTTTGCTTGATTTGTTCTGAAGAAAATCAGATTATATGATGCATTAATCAACTAAATGAAATGAAACATAACTGGAAGATGGCATATTTATTGCCCTGCTACTTAATATTTTCTAAATTAATATACCTCACATTAAGAATGCACCTTGTAAGTTGGATACGGCATCAAGAAATATTTGCTGTTGTTTTTGGGATATTTACAGAACCACACTCATTAGGAGTATTTACCAAAAGTCCATAAATTTACAAAATGACAGAAGACTTACTATGGTTTGGTTCCATCTTATACTTTTCTAGTCATAGGCAAAAGATGTACCTGAAACCCTCACCCACCTTTATGAAGATACTACAGTTACCCACTTAAACACAAGACGTAATCAAACCTCAAGGTAGGGGTAGCATGATTCGGTTTGGTTTTATCATTAAATATTTTCATAAACGATCGAAAAACCAGAGATCATAAAAATTCAATTTCCAGAATCATAAAAAATATGGGGATGGTTTGGTTCAAAGAACTTTATATTTCGGTTCGGTTCAATCCGGAGATTCAGGACTATCGAGACAGTTCGAATCGGGTATACAAAGATTTTGACCTATTAAATTAGAATAAGAAATTAAAATTCTTAAATTGAATCATTTTATTTTTAAAATTAATATCTAGTATTAACTAAACACTGATATGTTTTCTAGTTTTCAATCTTTATGTATCTTTAATCTTATTAAAGTTTAAAGATTTAGTTTGAAATCAGCCTTATAAAATGAGAATAAATAGAAATTAATCATAATTTAGTTTGTAAAACCTAATAGTGAAAATTTGAACTCTTAATAAAATATCTTAATAAAATATGTATGATTTTGGAATATATATATATGTTTTATGTCATCTTAGCTATAAGATAGAATAATAGTAAGAAAAATAACAAAAAATGTAATGTAGTTACACTTTTAAAAAATCTTAGATTTTTGTGAAGTTTAATTGGTATTTCTATATGTCATTAAGATTATAAATATATTCAAATAATATAGGTACTAAAATTGGCATAAAATCAAAGGATAAGCCACATCTAACGTTGTAGTCCGGTTCTTAATTTGAGTTTCTCTCAGTTCGGTATGATGTGAGATGTTTTGGTTTGGTCTTTGGTTTGAATATTCGTGAAATCTCCATAACCTTACAGATTATTTTTCTTTTCAATTTAATTTAAATAAAGTCAAACGGCCAATCCAATGGTTATTTTTCAGTCCGGAGTGATTTTGGTTCAGTTATAAGTCACGTATTTTATAAGTCACGTGCTCAATCCTACTCGAAGTTTTATTATTATATATTATTATTAACTTATTGCTAATCATTTCAAACCTCAAGGGTATTTTAAAATGGTTTCACAAAACACTCCTCCCCAAAATTTTACAGCGAAACCACACGAACTCACGCAGCAGCACCACCAGCAACAACGACAACTCTCAAATCGCCTCTCAATGGCTAAGCCATTGGATGGAGCAATGCGCGTGGGATCAAACGAACACCCGAGCTGACAAGATCCTCGAAATCGACACGTGGAAGCCCCGTCTCAACACAACCCAAAATGACCAAAATACCCCCACCTCCCAATACTTGTCCGCATACAAGCCAAACCCCAGCGCATCTCCCGAGGATGCACGCGCGGGGGATAACAGCCCGAGGGTGCGCTCAGCTTATGGTAGGCCCAATATGAGAGGGAGCGAATGTTCTAGAAGCTTGTTTGGGGACTACCCGAGCTATATGAGCAACACCAAGTCTTCCAGAGCCAAGGTCAGGTCTCAAAGCGCGCCAAAGCAGAGAGTGCAAATGGAGCTACTAAGTGGTGCTTCATATGGGTGGGAAAATTCAGACACGGTCTCTGAAAGGGGTTCATTCTCCGTGGCAAGGCCCAGGGGAAGTGGTTATCGCTACTCGGGTCAGGTGAGAAGGCAAGAAAATCCCATGTGGGATGGGGCCGCTGCCAGGTTTGGGTCCGTCTATGACCGTAGGATCTAAGCGTGGTTTTGTTTTCGTTTTTTGTGACCGTGTAAATTTTCGGCCTCTCTCTCTATCTCTCTAAGTGTGTTTGTTTGGCAATTGAAAATGTGTGTGTATATTGAGCTAACACTATTTGTGTGCTGTAATGCCCGAGAATATATTTGACTAGTTGTTCAATTTTGCAAATGTTGGGTGAAGGGCTAGTTAGAACTTAGGAATGATTGTAATTCGGGAACTAGCTGTTAATTGATGTGGTATTGTTTTGGTTTGTCATTTATTTTTATTTGGATATATTATCATACAAAGGCGGATACTGATAAATTATACTCCGTGATCTAAAATGTTTTTGATTTATAATACGAATGGTTGTAAAATCTGTAGAGCATGATATATTTACATGTCTAACAATGGTGCATGAGTGCAGATAAGTTTACTTTCAACCAATTTTCTCTTTCCTCGAATAAAAGCCCCAAATCAACGAAACCCCTCCGGACGAACAACGAGCCTTCTCCAGCATGGCCTCCCTAGGCCATATCGACGGCAGACATCGCTGGGCCGTGCGGCCAACCTTCGTAGGCTTGTCGGATGGCGGCTTCCTCTTCTCGGGTAAGACGATGGATCCACCTTTTTTGGTTTTCGACCCCTAGTCGCCAAGGAGGGTATTGGCCGGTGGTTCCCCGGTGAATGGGCGGCGGTGAGTATCCGGTGAGTCTGCGTCTACAGGCTGTGGCTTCGATCATCTCTTTTGGGGTGGTCGGGCTGAGATCGGACCGTTCTGCTTTCCTCCTTTTCTTGATTTATCTGCTTCTGCCGTTTGTTGCTTGGGCGGAGTCGACTCGGGGTCGGGTCTCGTGTCCCAGGCCCGAGTTGTCGGGGCTAGGATGGTGGAGCTTGTTGTTGATCTCTGGTTCCGGGGCTATGGGTTGTCTACCCAGGCAGTGCAAGGTTTTCGAGCCTCGAATCTAGTTAGGCGTGTATTCTGCAGTTTCTAGTTTTGCGACTTGGACCGGGTCTCTGTCTTTGTGGGTGGTTGCTCGTGGGTGTCGGCGTCATTTTGGTTCGGTTTGGTTTCACTGCTGTTGGAAGGGCTTTAATCTAGTTTGTTGTGTTTTTTGTTTTTTGTGTTTGTACTGTAAGTGTGTGTATGTGTTTTTTTCTCCGCTTTTGGAGTGCATATTCTCCCGTTGTGGAGTTGTGTATTCTTTCGTTGGGGAGTCTTTTGTGCGTTTGTAGTGTTGTATTTTGGCATTTAGGCTACCTTTCGTAGGCTTCCCCCTTTCGGCTCTAGACCGATTGTAATTATGTGTTTTTAGTAATGAATTCTATTTTCTGAAAAAAAAAAAAAATGGTGCATGAGCATACGTGTCGTGTGACTATAGTTGTAGGGCATGATGCCCGTTGCATCACTAGATAAAATATCTCGTTGATTTCAACTTTGAACAGCTCCCAAATTGAGTTGGACGATAACCTAATTCAAAATTTTAGTTTGAACAGCTATAAGAATTAGATGATTCCAATAGACATTTTTCTAACAATTTTTTTACCGTGGGAATTTATGTTGTAATTTTTATTTTTATCCATATTTTAAAAAATTGAATAATCTATCCTTGGAATCCTAAAAATCTAACGGAATACTTTGTTGGAATTTTCCTTCGAATTCATTGAAAAATTAAAATGAAAATAATAGTATTGGAATTCCATTAGAATATATTTTTATTGAAATTTTTCGTTGTAATTTCTTCATTTTCTTGTAGCAACATGCCTCGACTTTTGATTTTTTGCTCGACTTTTTCTTTGTTTTTCGTAGCCATGGCACCAACTTCAATGGTGGTATTAAAAGGTTTTGTTTTATTTACCCACCTTATCTCTTTCTCTCATTTTCTTATGGAAGACTGACGGAGTTAAAACGTAAAAGAACGAGAGAATTGAGAGAGAACTCTCGTATTTTCTTATTCAATCAAAATCAATTACCTCAAATCAAAAGAAGATGAGTCTTTAAATAGAACTAATAACCCTAAGTAAATATCCTGCCCAACAAGTAAAGAACTCTAATAAAGTACATAAGTTTCCTACAAATCTAGAATGCCCTTGATAGCCATTAAAATAATAAGGAAATAAATAAATATAATAAAGGAAATAAATAATTAAATCAATGATGCTAAACGGTCAAGCTTGTCCAAAAAATCCAACACAATATCGGCTCCATCATTCTCCCCCTCTTGAAAAGGATTTGTCCTCGAATCGGCACAGTCTCATCTCCACAATCTCGATTGGGCCAATTTTGCAGGCCGATAACTTCGTACACTCATGAGCATAAAATTAATAACCGCTACACCCCAAGCTCCCCCGCGAAAAATTCTCACGTATTCAATGACCCAAAGTAATTGGCCTGCTGCACTTTGTCCTTTGTTGCCCATGAAATCCCTTCCCTGTTTGCAATCACACCAGCATAAAGGTTGTGCCATTGTTGTCTCCCCAGCCGACAAGCATAACCCCTAATTTAGGGACATTGGTCTAAGTTTTGAACTTGTCTTTAACAATCATGGGCTTCAAAATGTTGTTGATTTATAAGAATGGTTGTGAAATCTGTTAGAGCATGAAATTTTTACATGTCAACAATGGTGCATGAGCATACGAGTCGTGTGACGAGAGTTATAGGGCATGATGCCCGTCGCAATTGTTGGTGGGTTTTTTTTTCCTTCTTTCTTTAAAAAGAGGATCAATAGTGGTACTCCACTTACTCCTTGGGTGATGCAGACTTTGTACTGGACTTGTCTGAAAGGTGTTTCAATTACATTTATAAAGACCCACGTGCATGCTATTCATCCCTTATATTGTACATCCGAGAGCTCTTGCATATTTTAAAAGATTATAAATCATATTATGTTATTTAATTTTTCTTTTGTTTATGATAGTTCCCAAATACGTGTATTGTTTGATGAACTCAACTCTATTTGTATTATCACTACATTATTAAGTAGTGGTATCTTAGAGGCATTTGCCATTAATCATGCATATTATAATGGGACAATTTTCATTTTGTGGAGAGCATACTGAGACACTTCAAAAAATTGCCATATTCCACCAAAAAATCCAACTGTAATATATTCCAATGCAAATTCCAACGGGTATTCCAATTGTATAGCTTCAGTTGGAATAATTTCAACGAAACTTTCAATGGAGATATTCTATTGAAATGAGTTTCCCGTAGGAATTTTAATTGGAATATGGCTAAATGTCTCATTGATTCCGACTTTGAACAGCTCGCAAGCTGGGTTGAGCGAGGACCTAATTCAAAATTTTAGTTTGAGCAACTATAAGAATTTTATGATTCCTGTAGATATTTTTCCAACGATCTATTACCATAGGAATTTATGTTGTAATTTTATTTTCATCGGTTGAAAAATCTACTATTGGAATCGTCAAAATCCAACGGAATATTTTTGTTGGAACTTCCATTCGAATCCATTAAAAAATTCCAATAAAAATAATAGTATTGAAATATCCATTGGAATTGCTGTTTGAATTCCATTGGAATATATTTCTGTTGGAATTTTTCATTGTAATTTTATTATTTTCTTGTAGCAACATGCCTCGACTTTTGATTTTTGGCTCAATTTTTTCTTTGTTTTTCATAGCCATGGCACCAACTTCAATGGTGGTATTAAAGAGTTTTGTTTTATTTAATCACCTATCTCTTTCTCTCATTTTCTGATGGAAGACCCTATGTCATTCCTGAAAAGGAGATCGATACAAAAGGCACATTGAGTTATATTTTGATAGCATAATTATTTCTTACACACAAATCTTATATTTAACGGACTAGATGATACACTTTACAATTAGTTTAATATGGTTAAAACTACCAAGAAGTTGTGGAGCTTTTTGGAGGTTAAACACAAAATGGAATACGTCGCATTAAGCAAGTTTATGAATAACAAATTGATTGTCAACATTGGGGTGGTTACATGAATATAAGAGATTCAAATCATCATTCATGAACTGTTAGCCGAATTATTGATTGTGAACAAAGCTTTTCAAGTGGCGATCATTGTAAAAAATTGCACTCGTTGTGTAATGATGTAAAAAAATATCTTCTGCATAGATGTTGGGATATGCGGCTTATGCACTTGAAAGTTAGACTTTTGATCGAGGAAGACAACAAAAATTCAAAGTGATAATCAACTGGAGCAAGATGGGGGCTAAAGTGAACTTGGCCAAATGTAACACAAACAAGAAGCATAAGAAAGCTTGTAGTGAAAATCTGGAAGGGAGTGCCAAAATGTTCAAAGGAATATGCTAATGTTGTGACAAATTTAGTCATTTTGCAAATGATAGTTGACTTACAAAAAATGGCAAGGATAGCGTGAACATAGCAGAAGAAAAGTCAATTTCAATTATTTTTTAGAGTACAGTCGTACCTCCATGTTCCAATAAACTAACTTGGGTAAAAATCCATGTGAATAGTGGACAGATATGAAAATCACTCGGTATATATGTGTTGATAAAGGAATTAATATTTCCATCTTACACACAGATCTGAAGAAGGATTCATTTTATGTGGAATTTCCCCGACTTCAAACATTGAAGAAACTGGAAAGGTAGTACTAAGTATGCTATGGGACAAATATAAGAAGGTCGTGGACGTGCAACATATCTCAAGCATCCATAAGAAACTAGTTTTTTGCTCTTTATTCAGTGTTTGAGTTTAAGTTAGTTTTTTAGGCCGACAAATTTATTAAGTTAAAAAAGATGACGTATTTTTAGAAAAACTGTACCTTGATGAATGACTCCTTAAAAATAGTATTGAGTGTAGTAATTCTTCATGGAGTTAATGACATGGCGGTCAAAGATATTCACCTCCTTTCTAATTTAGCATATTTGTCGATGCTGCACCAGATGATGAATCCCAATTTAATTAATTATTTAACAAATGGTTTTATTTATAAATAGAGGGACAAAGTAATGCATAACAAACACACTCGATTAATTAATTATAAATAAATAGTTTATAGAGTGAGAGCGAGAGAGTGCAGAGTAATACACACTATTCAGTGTAATTAAGGCGAAATCTTCTTTGAATTCAGTGTCTTCCTCCAATGAACCTTCCTCATCATCACTGTCTTCAGTCTGAGATGAAACAACAACTTTAACGGCTAATCCCTTCTTCTTAACTTTATCATAGTTGTTACTGATATCGAATGTTATGAGATGACCATGAAGATAATCAAGATCATGTGGTTTGACTCTTTGAGAGCTTTCAATAGCCGTGTCTTCCCGCAAAACCGTGCTGGAAATGACCTCATAATCTTTTGGACTTGATGTGCTTCGAAGATGTTTTCTCCCAGCATTGCATTCTGATTTACAAGATCCCAAAACCTTGAGTAATATGAGTCAATGGTTTCATTCTCCTTCATCTTGATGTCATCGAAAGCTAGCGTCACACTATAGTTTGGAAGATTTTACAGATTTGGATCCATCAAACCGACATTCTAGGATACGTCATTCATCTTTGGTTGTCGTGCATTGAACTATCATCTCGTGTCGTGTTGATCAACGACCATCAGCATTGCGTGTAAGGCTCAAAAATTCGTTTCTTCCTGCATTCTTCCGAGATCCGTACAGATATCCCTTGGTTTTAGGATTTCTTTAATCTGAGTGTGAGTCCCACTATCTAGTGGTTTCCTCGTGAGTGGATGTGTCCAACCGTTCTCTACGCTTTCCCACGTACCTATATTAAGTGAATGCAGGAAGTTGGTCATCATTGATTTCCAGTAAGATTAATTCGAGCAATCCAGTTGTGGTGGTCTCGACATAGATCCGCCATCATGATTCATGGTTGCACAAGTATAGGTCCACAAGATCTTCGCATATAGTAACCAAAACCCACTCTGGTGCCAATTGAAATTTTGGGAGAGTTATAGAATTACGCCTAACAAGTAAACAATGAACGTTCACTAATATGCAGAAGCAGCTCAAATAATAATTGAACCTTCAGGAGAGCATCTCACTCTCTCTTCGAAACTCTTTCATTTAAGCCAATGTTTGGCCTATTACAATTATGATTTACTAAGAAGACTCTCTCTTCCTAACCTACGAAGTAATCACTTCACTCAAGTACTTTTCCGGCCACTCCTCGTGGACTTCTACAACACGAATACCTCGCGATGTACAAAAACGTTCATCTCAAACGCCTGAAATGTTCATGTAAAAACACGCGCTCAAATTAGAGAACAAGCTCTGTATTATGAGAACTCAATAAAAATAAAATGAATATCAATACTAGTAAGTCACTCTAGCTCTCAACTTGCACAGTACGCCCAAAGGATAATCAAAAAAATAAGTGAAAAAAACAAGAGAGTATGTGCAAGACTCAATATATGCTCCATAAGGTAAGTTCTTCCACTCTGTTGTTTCCTTAATTAAACTTCAATCCTCCCTGCTGCTATGATCATCCTTCTTTGCATATGGTAAGCTTCTCTTGCCCCGTCCGGAAACTTCAGCTTATTTGGAAAGTAAGTACACGAGTCCTTCTCTCTAACTTAGGTAAGTGTCGCCATTACCCAATCTTTTCCTTATGTTTCGTATGGCAAGCAATCATCTCCTCCGATTTCTTACAAGATAATTAAAAACAACTTAGTCCATAATTCAATAAGCTATATAATAAGAAGATAAAATAAATTCAAACTTTCCTTAGAATTGGAGAATATACTGCTTGCCCAATTGACCTTGACTTCAAGATATGACTCGAGATTTCCGATTTAATGTCAAACAATTAATTTATTAAAAGCTCGTTTTATTTCTACGAAAGTTTCGTGATATTATAATCTAGATTATCCATCAGAGTTTTTCCTGAGCTTTCTAGAATGATTTCTCGTACCGAAAAGCGAAACGAATCATCTCATATCATACTGAACTGCATAATCGAATCATAACATTAGATAACAATCCGATATAATTTTAGTATATATTGATAACATTTAAACTTAATGTAAATTATGCTTAAAAATACTTGATCTACTTTTTTTGTTTTTCTGTTTTAAAACATTATTTAATTATATTTGTTGATACATTTTTAGTCTTACTCTATCTTATAATTAAAATGACATGAAAGTATAAAGATTTTTAAAAAATATATATTATATTTTGTCTGAATTTTAAATATCCAAATTGCACAAATTTAGTCTCAACTAAAGTTTTGAGTTATTTTTAAAGTTGATTTCAATATAATATCTTTAATATGTGAAGTGATGATGAATGTTGGATTTGTTTTTGTTTTTTTTTTTGGAAAGCATATCAAAATTTAGATATAACTAGATAGTCATTCAAACAAAAGTAAAAAATAACTAAAAATCTCTAGAGTTTCGAACTGAACTGAACCGTCGAGGGTCACGAATATCGAATCGAACCATATGATAGTCACGAATATCGAACTAAACCAAACCGATATATAAAAATCTCTGAACCGAACTATCCCAATATTTTAGATAGATCCAGAGAATAAATTTTAGTGATCTCCAAACTTTGGTAAGATTCTGGAAATTCCTCAATCTCCGAACCCTAACGACACATGCTCATCCCTAGGTATTATTATAAAGGTTGAAATGGACCAAATGATGGGAAACTAGTAAAAAAAAGAGATTGAGGGTGGCACTAGGGGCAGCATCAAACAAACCCTCTGTGTGTTTTTAGGTGCCAGAAATTGATTAGCTATCCTTTTGGCTTTGGAAGCAACTTCGTTGGTGCATAAGCATCGATAAATGGACAATTACAACGTTGAACCACAAGCGTCGATCAATGGATGACAAGTGACTATGTTAAAGCACAAGCGTAGATCAATGGACAATGTCGCTCAAGCTTTAGTGAAGTATGCTTCTTTTTCCCATTCCCTTTTTATTTCAGAGTGGTGATGTGTTGTCACAGCGGTTGAAGGAATGACAACTTTACTTCTTTTTCGCAGTCGGATGAAAATAATGGACAATGAAAAAAAAATCCTTATAGCTTACAAGTATACTTCTTTTCTTTTTTTCATGGGGAATCATTTGAATCTATTGTTAGCAAGACTCCCAATCAAGGTTTTCAAAATCGAGAATTTAAGTAGAATCGTTTTGGGTGCAGAATCGGAATCGTAAAATCGTAAGACTCTACTCAAAACGTCTAAAATTAATTATTTTAACAAGTTTTATGGTAATCATCAAGAATATGTATCAAAATGCTAAAAAAAACCACCACTTGTTTTTCAAAATATAAACGTTCAAATTTTAACATTCTGCGCGTTCAAACTTCAAAGTAAACACTTACAAATACATAGACAAATTAGAGAATCCAGTGTTCAATATCACCAAAGTCCAAAAGGCAAACATACTAGTGAATAGTGAAATAACATAATTTCAAACTTCAAAGTTCAAACTACTAGTGAAATAACATACTAGTGAAACAAAAAAACACAAGTTCAAATCATAATTTATAACCAAACTAATCACCATCACCATCATATTCATCAATAGTCTTGTTCCATGGCTTCCATCCGGTAGAAAATGAACACTCATCAATATGACGAGCTCCCAAATCATTGCTTGCATCATTGGCATAAGCATTTTCATCTCCCATCCTTTGAAAATCAACTCGATCATTTGCAAATTCATAATCAACATCATTATGGCCTTCATCATCCCTGTCATTTGCAAATTCATGTTCATCTTCGTCATCTTCATCAATGAGTTGAAATCTTTGAGTTTGACTAGCCCTTCTCTTGCCTCGTGACCTACTACTACTAGGCCCTTCTTGAACTAAATAATATATAGGTAAATACAAGTGAGAAAAACTTTTTAACACCAAAAAGAATACAAGTTATTTATAGACAATCAACTAAAATACTTAAATTAACTCCGAATGTGTGTTGGTGACCACTAAACTCCTCATTGTATTCAACCTCATCTACATATTCATCTGAGTTATTACATGCATTTGGATTCAATGCTTCCTTCCAAGTGGAATCATTATGCTGCAAATCCCCTTCCTCCGTTATCCATTCATTATCATGAATTTCTCCAACTTCCACTTCTTGGATAACATCAAAATTCGGCGGCTTACATTGCATTTCTTTTTCATGCTCCATTTTCAAATTGCACATAACAAAGACTAACTCATCCATTTTCTTATGAGTCAAACGGTTCCTTTTTTTTTAATGCACCTAATTGTTCAAAATCAAGACAATGTCAAATAATAGACTACTAGTCTACTACTTCATCAATGCATATCATATTTTGAATCAAGTCATAATTATAGCAATTCTAGCATATAAATAAACAAAAAGGAGAAACTTATTACCATTTCAAGTGCACTCCAATTCCGCTCACAACCTGACGAACTGCAAGTCAAACTTAAAACTCTAATAGCAAATCTATTCAACTCCGGACATTGATCTCCATATGAATCCCACCAATCGGCTAGATGAAACAAAAAAGAAATATGATATTAACATATTATCAGTAGCTTAAAACTTACACAGTTATACAATCTAAACATAGTAGTGAAATATAGAAATTTTACCTGGTGTTTTCTTGTTCCTCATCAAAATAGAATTTTCAAATCCAAACAATCCTTTGGCATACTTAAATGACTCCAATTGCAAATCAATCTTTATCCTTTCTTCCTTATTTGCAACCATTCTCCCAATACTGTTATACCTCGCTTCACAATGGGATCATTACTAAAAGATGAACTATAATGAAATTGAGGGTTCAAATAGTAACCCGCAGCATGTAAATCATGGCTAAGCAATTCCATCCCATTGCTTATCAATGACTGCAAACACAGATTCATACCTATAAGAATGCAACCAAAATTAGTAAAACAGTCAAAAGATGAAAATCACAAATATATGTATGTTTCAATAGCAAATGTGCTAATATTAAAATAAAAGTTACATTTTCTTAACATTTCTCAAGTTAGCTTGAATTTCTTGTTTTGCATTCTCCATTGTTTTATATAAAAACCCCATTGCAGGAGTAGCATCAAAATTAACCATATCTTGTTGCCCTATCTTTTTTTTAGCATATATGCTGGTAGTCCATTTCTCGGAAGAGAAAAAACAAAACAAATCACCCTTCAATTCATTAAGGCGGCTCAATGTCAAATATGAAGCGGCAAAGCGTTTAATGGCAGGCCTAATCAGCTCCTTTCCCTTTGTGAATTATTTCATCCAATTGACAATTGTGCTTGAAGAGTAGATAAAAGAAACCACCAATTTTGCCTTTGCTATGGTCTCTTTATGCGCAATGCCATTTTTATCCAAATCCTCCAACATTAAATCAATACAATGCGCAACACAAGGAGTCCAATACAAATGGTTCCTCTTTTCCATTAGAAGTTTTCCAGCAGCCTTAGTTTTTGAGTTTTGCACAGAATCGGTCAAAGTCGCAGAATCGGTCCGATTCTACGATTTTGACCGATTCTGCAGCGACTCTACATTCCTTTGCAATTTTGAGCGACTTAGAATCGATTTTGTGACTTTGAGTCGTAGAATCGACGATTCTACGACTCAAAGTCGCGATTTTGATAACCTTGCTCCCAAGCCCTCAATAGTGTTAAACTTGAAGCATCGAAATCCAACCTACCATTTAAGCTTGCGACATTGCAAATGTTCTGTTTCTACAGATAATTTGCATCAAGCTAGAGAATTTATCTAATGCACATCTCAATACTAACCAAATCATTACTTATTATTTTCATCTCATACCATGAACATCAAATTCACTGTTTATCTAGTGCATCGAAAACTTGTAAACAAAAAATTCAATTCAATCCCAAATCACTTGTCAATTCTGATTAGGTACTTATCATTACTGGGAACACTTCTAAATTCCAACTTCCATGATCCATCTCCCTAATGGCTAATACCATACACATCTCAACATTTAAGAA